CATTGTGACAAGTGTATCATGGTTTTCGAAATGGTGTGGTATTTGTTAATATTCACAATTTATATTTAATATTTTTCCTCCTGTATATTTTCCGAATATAATTTTACTTTCAAATGAATTCATAAATCGAATTTACTATTCGTAATGTTTGTATATCTGGAGATTTTTAGGCCAATAATGTAAGTGAACATTGAAGCAGTATATATCACTTTGTTATGCCTGTAAAATAAGTAGGCTGTACGGACTAGAGTTAAGTAAGATAATGTCTGGACTTGGGTTTATATGAATTTTAATAGTAATCATGAGACAGGATGAAAATGACATTAAGTGGTAAGTTGAAGAATATATCATTTTCCCGTAACATTTTCATTGTGAATACTTACTGAATGTTCCAAATTAGAGAGCTAACTTGTTAAAATAAAACAGTCATTAGGTGAATTTCTTATTTAAATAAAATGTTAATAATTCTCCCTTGTTAGGCTGACAATATATTGAATTGCCAATTAAAAACAACTTTGGTTTGACTTTTATATTTCTAACAGGTGGGACTGTGATCAGAAAGTTAAAATTTGACGACTGTTAAAAAGGATCCAAATTATCTATTTTCCTTTCTTTCTGTCGACATTCAATGTTAACTTACTACAATGAACTCGACTATTCTTTGGCTGATTATTTTCTTTTTAACTTATTAATTTGTTTTATATTCCAAAGGTCATAATTGTTACTATATAAACAGACTAGTCGTATCATATTATGACTTTCTTGGAAGCAATAAAATATCATCTGTTAGGACCTGTCTTATTTATTTTTATGACTTTGGGAAAATCACTATTGAATTGCTATTATTAACTTGTGAAAGCCTCTATTAGAAATGATTCAAATGATTTGTATTTTATCCAAGATCTTAATACGGTACAACAATATTTGACTAAAGTTTTGAAAATATTACGAGATATTGAACACCATAAAGTATCAACAAGGAATGATTCAAATATCTAACAAATATGAGGAACGTCAGTTTTCAACACATCTCTGGTAATGATTTGTGATAAAAACCATTTTCATATTTATTTTTCATAGAATAATCAACTTAATTCACTTGGTATTGTTTGTGTGCATCTTCCCACCGATGTGTTAGGACTGCAACTGGTCAGTCTCTAATTGGCATATGTGCATACTGAGCGTATTGCCTTGAAATGCGCGTCCTTGATTCCACTGCTAGCCACCATCTATCTTTGTTTATAATCAACTTAATTGTTAAGTAAACTTGTTTAATCTTTTCTGAATTCATATTAGATATTGAGATGCAAAAATTGTATATACTACTTCTCTAATATAATTATATTCTTTAATCAAATTTATCAGTTTATTTCTTTCAGTTTGTATAATCGTAAACTTGTGAATTCAACTGTTACAAGACTACAATTTTCACGAATACGTATACTGATAAATACATCATTTTATAAAGATTGATTTTTTCTCAAGCTTCTTTTATCAAATGTGATCTTGTGTGAAATTTCCAAAAAAAAGCAGAACTAATCTATTGTTGAGATATTTTTCATCATTGGTTGCTTACTGTGAAAGAATCTATCTCATTCCTGTTAAACTATAGATTATTTGGAAACAGATAATAACTCTACGAGTTTGAGACTTTCTGAATATGTATGTATTGCACTATTTAACGACTAATATAACTGTACGCTATGGAAATTTGCAACTTCATTTATATCTTTCGATTATCTGTTATGTTTATTGATAGATGTAATTCTGTTAACTATACACTTTAATTATCGACATTCATATTTTCACCTATTTTGAAAAATTTACATTGAGATAATTCTTTGTTACTTAATTAAACAGGAGGCATTCAGAATAGAAAAAAAAACCGGATGCTTGGAATAAGCTTATTAATTCAGAAAAAAACAACTATATTCTCCCTTAAAAGAAACTTAAGTCTTGTTTGGAAAAGAGGTTTCTCTAAGAAATATCATATGCAAATTTCAAGGATCAGTGTAGAATTTTAAAAAAAGGAATTTCATGTATCGTATTTGTCATGACAGAGATTCTCTTCAACGTGATGCATTGTCGAAGTCATAGACTTCAAGGATAAACTTATATTATCAAAGATTTAACCATTGTGTACAAAGTAAATATTTTTAAAATAACTCTTTATGCTTATAAAATTTCCAGTAGTTGTCAAAACTAATGCTGTATGTTATTGAGTAAGACATACATTACAACTTGAATGTTAATTATTTACCTTTATTAAAAGGAACTAGTTTTGAGAATGTAAAGCAACTTATTGAAACAAATACAACGTATGATATTGATTGTGTATTTATTTATTTTACTCAAAAACTAAGATTTCAAGACGGTTATTGACTAATCATTAATTGAATTAGTGGAATTCTCCATACATGAATAAGCATACATGATGCTACATGTATTTTAAGTAGAAAAAAACTTTAAAAGAATAATTCATGTAAGTCATATCAGATGCTTTTTTTATTTTCATGCACTTTGAATAAGATAGTGTAAAGTAAATTTGTAAGAAAAATGTGATGTACTTTAATAAAATGTTTCTATTCTTAGATGACCATAATGAATATAAAGTAATAAATGAACATGATGTCGTTCGCAGTTGAATGAAAATTTTATTCTCTTACAAGTTAGATGTCAATTTGTTTCTTTTTCATACATTTTTGGCAATTTTTGTTGTTGTTGTTGACTAGTTATTTTTTCCCCCATTTTCCAATTCTATTTTAAATCTTGTTAACTGCGATGATTATGCAAAATTAGTGAATTAGTTTTAAGCGAGATATCAAAGTGTACACATATTTTACTGTTTATGATCAAATAATGTGTAAAATATATCTGAATATTCTTAAGGAGATATCAAATATTCTTAATCTACATTCAAGAGTACGAAAAACTGTTGGATTTGAGTAGGTTCACAACCAGTCCTTCCTTTATTTACAGCTATTTACTACTACTACTACTTACGCCTGTTACCCCTCGTGGAGGAGCATAGGCCGCTCACCAGCATTCTCCATCCAACTCTGTCCTGAGCCTTCCTTTCCAGTTGCTATTCATCCTTTTCATATCTGCTTCTATTTCCCGACGTAGTGTGTTATTTGGCCTTCCACTTTTCCTCTTACCTTCAGGGTTCCAAGTTAGGGCTTGCCTTGTAGTGCACATTGGTGATTTCCTTAATGTATGTCCTATCCACTTCCAATGTCTTTTCTTAATTTCCTCTTCAGCTGGAAGCTGGTTTGTCCTCTCCGATAACACGCCGTCGCTGATAGTATCCGGTCAATGGATGTTGAGTATTTTGCGTAGATAACTGTTTATAAATACTTGTACCTTCTTGATGATGCGTTTAGTAGTTCTCCACGTTTCAGCTCCATACAGTAGGACTGTCTTTACGTTCGTATTGAAGATTCTGGCTTTGAAATTAGTTGACAGTTGTTCTGAGTTCCATATGTTCTTCAATTGTAGAAATGCTGTCCTTGCTTTTCCAATCCTCGTCTTTACATCTGCATCCGATCCTCCTTGTTTATCAACGATACTTCCCAGGTACGTGAATGTTTCCACCTCTTCCAGAGTTTCACCATCAAGTGTGATTAGATTGGTGTTCTCCGAGTTGTATTTGAGATCCTTTCTTTTTCCTTTGTATATGTTGAGACCTATTGATGCAGAGGCTGCTGCTACATTTGTCTGTATTTGTTTGCGTGTATGAGAGAGGATATGGTATAAGCTGTGAAGACACTGCAGTTATTGACCTAATAAACACGACGAATAACTACTTACTCTTCATTTATCTTTTTAATCTGCCACTAGGATTTTAAGAATGAGCTTAAGCATCAATAATTTTCTCATCAGTAGAACATGAAAGTTCACAAAGAAAGTTAACCCTTTAAAATATATTTTGATCAGCTATTATTCATAAATAGAGGATAACTAAACTTAACTTACTCCTAATGAGTAGAAAAATTAGATTTTCTGAAGATTTTCTCTGAAGAAGTGGCTTACACTGAGTCACGAAACGTCAGAAAATCTAATTTTTCTACCCATTGCGATATTACAAATATATTAATTTATTTATAACAATCTACCTAATGCTCAATTTATTCAAAATTAACTTACTCCTGTTTAGATATTTAAAATGATATGAAAATTTTAGTCATCTTTCAATTTTGACGCAATCATGGAATATCGTATTTGATGATTATGATTACATTTCATTATATTAGGTCACAGATTTTCTCTAATATATAAGGACACCTAGTGTAATCATAAAAGTAGCCGCTTCTATCGAAGGCCCGAAGAAAAGTTAGCTCCTGCTCTAAACTAGCGAAATCCAATGTTTTTGCCACATACTAGACGTTCAAAAAATCATCGCGAAAATATGCAGAAGTTGTGATTAGTTACTAATTATGTTTAAAGTTAGATACTGACTCAGACCTAATTACTTTATTAACAGAGAGTAAACTAAGATCTACTTTGTAGTCAACCGACTCAGTGACGATGTTTCCGACAGGTGGCTAACTGAAACTTATCGAATAGCTGCAATCCAGGATAATACTGAATGGCGTGACTACAAGTAGAGTATGCTACTCAGTCAATGATAATCTAGACATCTTAGAGTTACATTAGCTCTACAACTTTAAACTTGGGGACAATCCATTGGATACTACATTCAATTTCATTGCAGTCAGAAACAAACTGATTCTCATGGTATGTGCATAATTATGAAGCTGGTATCGCCTAAAGGAGTTGTCGTTGACTAATATGGGGAAGAAATCTTCGAAGTTGCAGTGGGTAGAGAGGAATAAGTTTATTACAAAAATCGACTTCGAAGAAGATTCTCCGAATAAAATTCATAAGAAACACGTTGATCCCCCACCAACATCCTTTTGAATATCATGAATTTTTTACCATTTCTTCTATTCGAACCGCTAATTTACAAAAGAGTGTACTAAAATTAGAAAAAACAGTCATTATTGTATCAATACTGTTCTATTTATTTATGGAAACTTTTCATGAATAAACCATTGATGGATATGACAAGTTACTGGTAGGAAAAGTGAAATTATTAAGAATAAAACTGAACATAAGTATAAAGAAAATAATAAATTGACGCTGTTTTCCAGTTGAATCTACTTCTTTTGGTTTATAGTTGTTAAAGGGAAAATGACGGAGAAAAGTAAGGCAGATAGAATATAAACTCATTAATCCAAATATGGTCTCCAAACATTTTGTTCTGCTTTAGTTTGATGAATTTCTTCATCATGATGATGATGATGATTAGTCTGTTTCTGTTTTTTAAAAGATAAATCGATTATTTGTTCACAGACTTCATTTTCCACTGGTTGATTTATATTATAAGGGTTTTGTTTAAATATCCGTTGTGACATATGTAATAACTGCGGCGAAGGTGTACAATTTATTGGTTGTGATTTATAAGAAATATTTAATTGTGTATTTACAGTATCTTCAATACCACTGTCTAGAGATTGTGAATATGATGTAGTAACTACTGGTTGAATATTATAATTATCTGTTGAAGTTTTCAATATCTTCATTGACGTTAAAGGAGTAGAATGAAGTTTTACATTGAAATACTGAGAAGAAGAATTGTGATCAGTCGATTGAGATGAAGTATCATTAGAAATGGAAGTATTTAATGAATTCCATTGTCTATTAATATCATAATCATTAGAATGATCATGCGAATACATTTTCAAAGGATGATTATATGAAATATAAGTGTTTAAATCAAATTTATCATTACTGTTATTATTCTTATTATTATTGATATTCTGTTTATTTTTTGATGCATTAGAATGATCTGAGATTAATTTATCGGAAAATTTATCACGTAATTCATGTACACGTTCAAGTATATCTGGAAGTTGTTTAGTGAGGAGAAAATGAAAGAAAAATGATACGAAATATAAATCACTCATAGTAAAGTTAATTCATTCTTAAAATGCATTATAGTTTGTGTCTGAGTAGGTCGATTATGTTGATATGTGTCATAAGTTATCTGTAGTAATTTGATGAATGTTATAGGCTGTAAAGAGCTACTTTAACCCTTCTTTTCTACATAAAATCCTCCTTTTTAATATCGGGCACTTACGTAACAATTATTTAGTTAGTCTTGTTGACAGGCCAGGTAAAAATGAACGTACAGTCGGAAAACTTTATTTGTATTATTTTGCCAATTAGTAGCTATTCGATAGGTAACTCATAGTAATACAATATTGGTTGGATGTTTTTCAAATGATTAGCTATCGGTTTGCTATTATTTGTGATATTTTGGTGTAGGTCAATAAGTACACTTTTGTACTTAACTTTTTTTCAACCTATCGTTGGTCAATAGGCACTTAACTATTTGACCGAACAATCGATCTATCATAAGAAAGATATTTATAAAGAATACTACCAGTTTATTTCAGATATTTAAATCCCCAAAACATAAACACTTTTACCATACACTTGTAGCCAAATGAAGTCGGAATATTGAGATTTTGATTATTATATAGTGTATACTTTATATAGTCGACATAAAATTATTTCAGAATGCTTTATTCTAAGTTAGTTTGAGCCTTTTTTTATTTTTCATTCAACAATGACCTTTATTTTTTACTTTAACCAGAATGAGAGGTAAATATAAAACATAATTGGCGCCATTTCAAGTAAGGTCGATATCTCTGTATACAATACACATTATTTGATTAGTGATCATCATTTAACATATAAGAAAGTACTTAGATAAAGTTAAGCCATTGTCACACTTATTACACAGTGCTCCGACATCATGAAAACTTTTTTTCTTCCAATTTTCGCATTTTTTCTAATTGGTATGTTAAACAAGTTTATACGGATTATAACTATAATGAATTATAAAGGAATATAGCCAGACGGAATGAAAAAAAGATACAAAGTTGTTTGTGGTTTGAAAAATATTCAGATTTTTATTAATATTTCTTTATTTCTGTCTCGCTATCATACACATATGTACACATACATATGAAGGTTTCTCTCTTTGACAAACCAACTGTTTTCAACTGCCCGTTGAAAATAAACGTCTGGGAAATTGATATATAATCAGTAAAGCTGGAATTTATGAATTACCCCCTCTCCGTTCACATACATTCACAAACCTAATGTTAAGACGTAGGTGAATCCATGCTCTTATATATCATTTTATGATTGTTCAACTTACTCCTCAAATGCCCTAGAGTAATTTTCATTTCAAACAAATGTCTAATACAACATGTTTCAACAATCATTTATAATATTAATAGTTGATCAATAATACACATGCTTGAATAGTGTTATTAACATGATAACGGTAAAATCATTAAAAGTATAGACGTCTTAATAAACATAACAGTGTAATTTAAACTGCTATAAAATGGGATAAATTCAGTCTTTTTTTATGAGGAATTTAAACGCATATATTTGAGCACAAATGCTTGCTCGATCAAACAATATGAAGGTATGGGACAATATTTATGCCTCATTTTGATATCCTATTAAAGTTTGTACTTTATCTAAAATTAGTAGACAGTTGGGACAAAACACTAGTTGATTTGTTTTACATTGAAATAATATTGGGTAGAATATGACGACTGTAAGTGAGAATCAGTTGATTGAAATATATTCACATAAGAAAACAAGCAATTAATTAGTACTTCATTACTGATAACAGATTTAACTAAAGAAATGAATAAGCAAAATTTACATGATTTATTTTGATGTTTTTTATGAACAAAAAAGTTTTAAAGTTGATAAGTGCAATGCATTACGAAAACAAGGACATTTATCCATCGAAATAGTTTCACAAATTGATGTTATATACTTTCGAAATGATCTAAAGAAAGGAATCATTTAATAAATTTTGAAGTAAAGTTGTTTCTTTACTCTCAATACAATATAATCTCAAATCTCGATACTTATACAACAATCAGTTGTTGTGTATCACAATATACAGATTTTAGGTTAAGTTGATGAATTTGTTGCTTAATAAATAGTTGTGAGTTATGAGGTGTAGATAATATCATTCGTGCCAATAAAGAATTGCGAATTCTTGTCACGATTACTACTTAAACATAAAGAAGTTTAATTAGATCTAACCAATGAGTATCCTTGGAATAATTCGTAATATTAACAGAATAGTGAAGAATAATTTAAAGCAACATGATTAGTCTATTCAAATTTGTCGATAAAGTTCCTTCAACTTTAAACACAAAGAAGACATTTCTATCAATTTAATTTTTGTTTCTTCTCAGATTATGTGTTTAGTATTATCGTGAATGATTAAGAAATAGAGTGACTTGATTAAGAATGAGATTTTTCAAGCTTTTAAACAGTCATTTTACACATAGCTTAGTCTAATTTTGAATGGCTTATTATAATTAATGATTTAAATCGTCTGATTTTCAGTTGGAACAATTTATTTATTCTTTATGGGTAATAAATTCAAAAGGGGGTTTTGTGAAGATTTTAGTAATTTTACAATTGAAATCATTAGCTGATTGAAGCTAAACCACCATGGAGAAAATGGACAGCCATTTCATCCTATTGTGGGACTTCTCAGTAGTGCGCATCCACGATCTCGCCTCGCAAGATTCGAATCCAGGACCTATCAGTCACGCTCGCGAGCGCTTAACCTCTAGACCATCTAATAGTGTTAACGTCTAACTTCAACCGATCCAAGAAATTGAGCGACAAATCCAAAATTGTTTTCAGCTAGTTACTATTTCACAACAGAAGAAACGGCCGTCTAGTGCTTCCAGGTTTTCCATGGTTGTCTAGCTTCAATTGAATCACGATTTCAACTGTAAAATGAGTTCAAAGACAAGTTATATTATATGTTACCGGCTACTTTCCCAAAAATAAAAATATGAACAAATTTTATAGATAAGTATATATCTATATATATTTAAAGAAACTACAACTCATACCTGGTTGTTCGCTGACAATAGCCACAACATTTTTAAAGACACTATGACAAATATTCAGAATATCGGTTTTTTCAATTTTATGATATTCTGTTGGCTAATAATTTAAATAAATAGAAAACAATAACACAGTACAGATTTATTATGAAAATAACTTGGTAAATAATTATTCATATTCATTTAAATTAAGTTCCAATTTAAAAATGATAATGATAAATATGTGTAACCATCATTTTCGTCGAGAAAATAGTAAATGTTTATAGTTCGATAACAAAGGAATTAACTTCACCCCATTGCACGAACAATTGGCTATCAGAACCCAGTATCTAAGTGGATAACGCGATGGATTTTGAAGCGAAAGGTACTTGGTTCGAGTCCCAGAATGAACATCAACTCTGAGATGCATGTACATCCAGCTGACGAGCTCCAAATAGGACGAAACGCGCGTCCTGGATTCCACTGCTAGCCACTATACATCATTGCTTATAAAGGAATTAACTGTTATTTAATAAGTGTATAAATCTCTTAATAAGTAATCTTAACCTAATATTAAGCAATTGTCTAGCTTCCTCTTAGATACTTAAATGTTCTCTAACTATTGTCAATCTATTTTAATGAAAAGCTTATATAAACTGAATAAATCGTTCAACGAAATATTCAAGTAGATTTTGAAAATATTTTCATAAATATATATATATATATATATATATATATATATATTGTCAGAAGGCTTTTTTGTGGAAATTTCAGTAAATTTATATTTGAAATCATGAGTCAATTGAAGCTAGACCACCATAAAAGCCTGGAAGCATTGGACGGCCGTTTCGTCCTGATAGGTCCTCGGCTGGAATCCAGTGAGGCGGGATATATATGTATATATAAATTGATTTAGATTAATATAAGTCATTCACTTTAATCTTGACATGTAATATAGATTTAACAAAATGAAGCTCAATATTCAAAGAATATATGATTTAGTCAAATTTACTAATGGGAATTTGTACAGGATAATAACTCCATGATATGTTATGGGTTTTGGCATTTTTCAAAATAATTATTTAGTATTAAAGTCCAAGCTTTTTCAAGGAACCAGATTGCCAGGCGAAACGTTGGATTTACTACAGATTCATTCGCTGAGATTTTACAAATATATTATTCCTATTTAATGTCTTACATCAACTCAGCGCCCAAATACTGTGATACTATTCACTCTGAATTAGACGAAAGTTTTTATATATGAGCACTTCTTCGTTTGTTATAATGAAAAAAAAATTAAGAAATGAACCTAATGGACAATAGTTTTAAATATATGCACTTTTTCCGAATAAAAATAGTTTAACCCTAACAACCGCACTTTTTTAATTTTAAAAATAATGTTTTTGGTAGTATATACACAAAAATAATTTGATACTCGCATTTCTTGTTGTTGGTAATGTAAGCTTCAGGATACGCTTGACTTTGACAATGAATTACTAATGTAATATCAAATATTTACAATTTCTTTCAGATTATAATCTATATACCTTGTTGATTGATTTATAATTGTTAAATACTGAATTGTTACAGCCATAATGGATGCTACTTAAAAAATCTTACTTCTAATAGATTTTAATACACAGATAAGTAGTATATTTGTTATAATGTACAAATTGATAGATAGGTTATTGTGGATATTGAGAATTAGATACTAGACATTACTGGTTACCATTTAAATTAATGATCAGGATACTATGATTACTACTGTTATTATTTATTAAATTTCATAAATGACACCTCACATGTGTAAGAAATTTTTTGCTGTATTACCATTAAATAACTTAGTGTTTCAATATATCTCGGATAATTATTATAAATGAACATCAGTAAAAAAATTGATGTACTTCCATATTATAGATGAGGTTATCTACTAAACTTAAGGTAACAACAATATTCTCACCAAAAATAATGCATTAATCAGTGTGTACATTTTGATTTATTTAATCAGGTTTTATAATCAAATCTGGGTCATTTAAACTGCAGGTAAAATGTTTATTAGATGTGCTCAAACAAGTGCTCAATTTATAAGGAATTATCATGAGTAGTGATTATAATAACAGGTCATCTAGACCAGTCGGTATATTTCATATAGTTTTTAGTTTATCGGCTATATATATGACAGATTAACCTCAAATTTAGTTCACAAATCAATTAAAAATAAAAGGCATGAGGTCAGTTATATTTGTCATGATGAAAATTAATACCTCCACTTACGCTCTTATAAATTTTGAGTTAAACATGTTGGCGAATAAAAAGAATATCCCTCCTGGCATTAAATGCATGGCATTCATGTCTCATTAGAAATATCTCGATTCCTTAACAAATAGACTCAACTTCGACTATATATCTTAAATTATTTACAGTGTATGGAATAAAGCATACTAATATTCCGATTTATAGTCGATAGAAACCAGCAATCAAAAATTAAATTAACCAAAGATTCATGTTTTCTACATTAAACATACAGGATACTTGTTTTCACGAGA